TGGCACGAATGAGTACATGCCACATGTACCATGTCAGCTCCTCTATTGGCAATTGATCTTCTAACCGCCAATAGTGGTGCTTGATGCTGTAAACAAGTGCCAAAAACTGGCTGGCAAGCCGTACTTGCTGCCTGTTGTCGCTAATCTGTCGTATAATGCTGTCTTGTTGCTACCTACACTACTAGTTAATCAGCTATTTAAATCAGCCAAGCTGCCCAATTTTGCAAAGGAGAGGATATATTCAACCTAATAAAGAGATTGGAAGGGGGATCAGTCATTGCTCTTGGATGAGAAAGATAAGGCCACCGTCATCTTCGTTAGAGCTGCCACAAGCAATATGCCTATGTTTTTTTTGATTTGATTGGGAGAAGGAAGGAAACGGAGGGAAGTCAAGCACCAACCTTGGTCGGTCAGCCAAGCCAACCAAAAAAGAGAAAAAGAAGGGGGAGGCATTGTTCACATTGGACCTCTACTAGTTGGCCGTAAACAGTGCGGCAACACCTAAATAGGAACGAGGGCTTCATTGACACAATCAAAAATACAAGGGTGGATATTAAATTTCAGAAATAGTTAAAAGGTGAATCTCAAAAGTTGAAGGGCCAAAACTTAAATTTTAAAAATAGTTATAAGTTGGATCCTATATAGTCAATCTTATCCACTTGGTGAATAATGATTTGTTCGTGTAAGTCTAGGTTTTAAAACCCTGAAATTGGTTAGGTTTGTAGAATTCTCGTTCATCGATTACTTGAAAATGTGAAACGTGTCCTAAAAAATATAATTACTCAAAAAGAAAATATCCTTACTGAACAGCCAGTTGGGGTAGGTGGTAGTCTTATAGCCTATATTATGACATTAAACCCAAGGAGGTCTCAGACACAGTAGACTGTACAGTCTAACCTAGAGTGATGACCCATGACTCATGCTACATAATGTAGTAACATTCAACATCTTTTCATGATTTTATATTTTTAGGTTTTACTGCCCTCAGAGATGATATTGTAGACTGTGCACACTCTATCTGACTACCTACCACATAACTTATGATCTTGATTCTTATGATTATTTGATGTCTTTATATCTTTGTTTTAAACGTGTTATGGAATGCCTATATCAGACAAAAATTTTGTTTTATATGATCTTTCAATCCTGTGATCTTATACTCAGATGACATAAATGACTAGTTGTGATGTTTGGCTAATGACGTCCACGCTATGCAATTTCCTTGATGATGTTAAATACATGTATATTATAAGAAATTAAAACTGTCATATTTTTATTAAGTTTAATTTATGTGTCATTTACTGATATTTGATTTCATATCTCACATAGTAGCCCCATCACCTACTAGCATAGTTTGTGCCTACACTATACATTGGTCGAGGTGGGCCAATAAGAGTTCTTTGAGGGTTATTTTGCATTTGTTTAGTTATAGCATGAGTATGAGAGTTATACTGCAAGGGTATAGTGTATGATAGGATATTGTACATAAATGTTGAATTGCAAATAATGATAGTGATGTGTGTGTGTGTGTGTTTATGGCACCCTAGGTTTCAAGTGTGAAAATATATATATTGGACTGTTTGAGTGTACAAGATTAGTAGTCCCAGAATATATTTGCATATATGTCTACAGGTTAAATTCAAATAAAAAGAGTTATGACGGCAGGCATGCTGCTAGATTTTTGTCACCAATAGGTATTGGTCGTTGTCTTGACTATTGCGCCTCGCCAAAGCAGAGAGATGGGTGGGGTGTGACAATCTCATACCCTATTGATATTCATATGCTATAGCTTTATCCCCAATAGGTGAAAAAAGGGGATAGGTTTAGCTCATAGATGGGTGGAAGCAAAGGATCGCCACTAGATGTGCCATAAGGCCTGGCAATCCGATCTCTAAACAAGGCACAAGTGCTCTGGATGCTAAACCGAAGTGTGTACTTTAGGATGTGTTGAAGAAGCTCATGAGGGGCTAGACCGCCATGGTGGTGGCCACTACTTATCCACGATTTGTGGGGTGGATAGCATTAGAGTGATTCAAGATGGCTAAATTGTTAAACAGGGGAGTCACATGGATCAACATAATAGAGGCCATTTTCAATCACCTTTGTTTTTGCTTTGTTAGCCCTTGTTTTTGGGTGTTAGCTAAGTTTCGACTACAATCATGCTTTCTAGTGGTAAATGTCAGTTTGATTGTAGGTGGAGATACTCAAAGGTTAGTGACCATACTTAGATGATATTCAATTGGACTAATCAAATGCTAGTGTTTAACAACCAAAAATTGGGCTTTTTTTCCTAAAATTTTGACAATTTAGTGGAAATTGGTCATGCCGGTTGGCTCCATGGGGCTATCTAAATGTTGGAAAACATCGTGCGTCAATTGTGTACGTTGGATGACTAGTTCTAATTAGCGTTGATAGCTTCTGCCTTAAAAATTATGATATTTTAAGGTTGTTCTATTACAGTCTCAAAGTTATATGCCTTTATTCTTATACAAAAATTTTAGAAATGTTATTTTTTTAAATTATATTTTAAGAACATATACTCTAACAAGTAAAACATATACTTTTCACTTCCGTTTAAAAGAAAATTTTCTTTTCTCTCTTTCACTCTTTCTATATATATAGACACACATACATACACATCTACACATGTGCGCAAAGGTGTATATATTTATGTATTTTTATCATTCATTTCTTAATTTTGTTATTTGTGTCCTTATTTTGATTTTTTTATTTATATCAACTTTAATCATTCTAATTGTCTAAAAAATAATACAAAAAATAACACAATTTCAAAAAAATATATGCCAAGAAAATAATGTATCAATTGATTTTAAATTACTACATGTCAAAAGTATGTTTAAATTTAAAAAACATGCACTTTTTGAGACCAAAAGATAACGGCCCTACTGTATTGAAGCACAAGGAGCTCAACAACGTTAAGTGTAAAGAGACCAACAGCGATGAAATAATCAATGGCCTGGTAGGTAGCGTTGGTGTCAGCAGATGACTGGCCAAAATTGCACGGGAAGTGACTTAAAGTCCGTTTTGAAACTTAAGAATCTTTTTTTTCAAATTAAGGGATTAATGGGGGACTTAAAATTAAACTTGACTACTAATAATGAGGTTTACCGTTTAAATATCATTCATGGTTTAGAAACATGATTTTATAAACACATGTGCTTCAACGATCAGCAAGCAGTTTTAAAAATGTGATGCCAGTTGTTTTATAAATGTAGATGTAGAATAGTAGTAACAGAGTGGTGATTAATGCCGCAAATGAGTTAATACTGGAAAAAGCATGTTTTGGCTGAAGTTTCATTCACCCCCGTAATGAGGAACAAGGCTCATGCTATTGCAAACTTACTGATTTCATCAACAGATATGTTACTTTTGTAATATATATATATATATATATATATGTTGTGTGTGTGCGCGCGCGCGCAATTGGTTTTATTTTTTAATATATTTTTCTATTTAAACAATGCAAAATTTCATTCATCCGATCTGTTCACCCTATAGACAGCATGATGACTCGGTCAGGATCAAACCGCCTACATTATTGGCTTTCGTTTTTTTTTATTCCTTCTTCATAAAGTATATTACAGAATGGTCACAGTTATTAATATGAGTAGTTATATTCTTCATAAATATGCGTTTTTACTATCTATATTTTATGATTTGTTACATTATTATCTACCGTTTACAAATAATACATGTAAAATTTAAGTTACAATTTTTTTTAAATATATTAAAAATGTAAGTTAGTCAAAAACTTAACTTAAGATGGCGAGGATGGACAAGAGTGAAACACATAATCTAAAAATGAGTTTTAAGTGTTATACTTGTTTGAATAATCTTGGGTTCCAATTTTCCTATATATATATATATATATATATATATATAATTGGGCTAAGGCCAGGGTAAAATTTTCATGGGCCAAGCCTTGGCAACCATGGCAAAGCCCAAGACAAGGATTGGGCCTGGCTCGTTATCATTGTGTTTGAACATTTGAAGAGCCTTTATTTGGGCCGATCTGTAAAAGCTCGAGTTGTATACATTATTTACATTGTTCTTTTTTTATTTCATAAATAAATTATAACTTTTGATTCCAACCTTGATGTAACTAAAGATAGCTATGATAAAACGATTTGCCACACTGAATTTTTACATTTTAATTGATCCATTCACCGTGAATTTTGACTATAAGGAAAGTAAGAAACATTCAAAAGATTAGTGATTCACTCACAAAGGAGCCATTGGTTTGTAAAAGTCCTCCTTTTGTGAGTATTCTTTTCTTTTTTCATAAAATCAAGTAGTTTGGTCCTGTCACATTGAAAAAAACCATATTGCCAAATTGGGTTTCTGTTTATATATATAACGAAAGCTAGAATTAAATATTTATTAAAATCCTCGAAACAGAGAAAACTTGAGGGAAGAACATTACGATTTAGACAGGACACACAAACCTCTGCAGTTACAGGCCTTGAGGAGGACCTCAGAGCAGCGCCGCGCGCCGCGCCGCTACCAATCAACTCAAGCCCCAAGTGAAAATAAGGGCCTAATGGGCCTAATGCATTCCTGAACTGTTTAAGTACTGCCGTATAACTCAACATGCCATCAAGAAGAGGCCCCGTGAAGTGGAAAAATAAGAAATGCACCAGCAAACCACTGATCCACGGGCATAGCAATACCAAGATAGAATTGCAATCGGAACACCCTCCATTCGTAAAACGCTTCAAAGCATCGGTGAATTTTTTAACCTAGAAAAGCCCATTTCTTAAGTTGTGGGTGTTTATTTATACTTAACAGACAGACCATAAACAGAATGTTACAAGCCAATCTCAATACGACTCAATACCGACCGATCCTCCAAGATCAATTGTGCGTGCTTAATTGAATTGACCACAGCATCCCTTATTCTTACTAAATTAAGTCTGCAGTCTTACCACTCCCCAACAAAATCTTGCCACCAACGTTTTATCCATGACGTTATTCTCAATATGGAAGTGAAAGCCTAATTGAAATAAGCCTTACTGTACATGTGCGCTGCCGCTATCTCTCTCTCTCTCTCTCTCTCTCTAGTATACATGCTCACATATATGATATATATAAATATATTCCATTGTACTGTTTTAGGATTCCCATGCAAACCAATTAAAGAGAGATTGGGTAAAAAGGTTTCACTCGGTCGGGACTCGGGACCCTTCTTTGGACTCTTCTTCACCCAACAAAGCACCCCCAAGAATTGCCTTTTTCCTTAAAATAATTTTCTTTTCATTTATTTATCATTATTTTCTTACGTTATCAAACTAATAATTCGTTATACATGTTGCTTATAGTGCATCTGTTTACACAAAATCACATGCTCTCTCTACTTTTTCGTGCAAGAGCAGGGCCACTAAAATATACTACTCTAGTTCTAAAGTAATTTCCACAGGCATCAGCGAGAAGCTTAAAGGTTAAGAAACAAACATTACATCTCTGACCTCACTCACGAAACCCTAAAAAGCAATAAAACAAAAATAGACAACAATCAGTAACATGCTACCGCGGCTAATGTACTACACATCATACATGCATGGACACATGCACATAAACATATCCACATACACATACACACTCGTATATATAGCATAAAGCTCCCTCCTTTATTTTCGTTCCTTATTCTCATTCTCTACTTTTATCTCTCTCTCTCTCTCATCAACGCTCTTTCCTGTTGATGTGATTCTCCACTAGAGAGTTCATACCCCATCAACCTTTACAAAAGAGAGAAAGAGAGAGAGAGAGAGAGATCAAGAGAACCATGGTTTTTTCCTCCATTCCAGCTTATCTTGATCCATCCAACTGGCAACAGGTAATGGTTCTTCTTCAATTTTTTGCTTCCATGGCTTCTTTGCCAATAAAGCAAAACCTAATCAAATTCAAAAGATAAATATTCCCTCAACCCCCTTTATTTTATCTTCTTCTCTCCCTTCTCTTTATATTCATGAATATACCACATATTTCATTCTTGCTCTTTTTTTTTTTTTTTTTTTTTTTTCCTTTTGTGTTTGTTTTTCCTGCAGCAACCTAATCAGCAAACTGGAGGCACCAGTGGAAACCCTAATCTCCCTGCGCCTGGGCCGGGCGGAGCAGGCTCGATCCGGCCTGGATCGATGGCAGACCGAGCCCGGATGGCAAACATGCCGATGCCGGAGGCTGGCCTGAAATGCCCCCGGTGCGAGTCCTCCAACACCAAGTTCTGCTACTTCAACAACTACAGCCTCTCCCAGCCCCGCCACTTCTGCAAGACCTGCCGCCGCTACTGGACTCGTGGCGGTGCCCTACGTAACGTCCCAGTGGGAGGTGGCTGCCGGAGGAACAAGCGAAGCAAGGGGGGTGGCAGCTCAAAATCCCCGGCTGCCGGTAGCAGCAGTTCCTCTGGTGGTGCAGCTTCCTCCACCACGTCCACGGCCACCGCAGCAAGCATACTGGGCCTCACACCGACGCAAATCCCACCACTCCGCTTTATCTCTCCTCTGAGTCAGCTCACTGAATTCGCTCCCAGTGACCTAGGGTTAAACTACAACGGAATTTCCACGGGGATAAGCGATTTGAATCTCAGTGGCGGTGGCTCATATATCGAGCCATGGCGCTTGCAGGCAGCGGGACAGATCTCTTCGGTGAACGGGTTAGATTTCCCAGTGGGGCTGTACCCGTTTCATGGGGGGCTGGACGGATCGGGTTATGCAGGAGAGGGAAGTCAACTCCGGCCAAAGCAGTTCGCTTCTAATTTAGGCCTTATTAGTCAGATGGGTTCAGTGAAGATGGAGGAGCGTCCGCAGGATCAGTTGAATTCTTCTTCAAGGCAACTCTTGGGAGTAGCGACAGGAAATGATCAGTATTGGAGTGGAACTGCATGGACTGATATGTCTGGATTTAGCTCTTCTCCCACCAGTACTAATCCTTTGTGAATTTTAGAATATATTATCTGGAATTGTGATCCCCCCAAGTCCTATATTTATATGAGGCGTAATTAGGTTTTTCTTCTTCTTCTTCTTCTTATTCTTCTTTTCTTTTTCCAAGTAAAGCCTCAAGCTATAGGAAGGGGATGGTAATTAGAGGGCCATGAAAAAAGAACTTAGTCTCTCTGAGAGAAGATTAAGTGAAACCCTAGAAATAGTGGGTCATGGTTTTCTCATGTTCTTTAAGTTTAATTTTAGAGTGTTATGTGTGGGCATGGTTGTAGAGATCATGAATGTATGAGTTACAGACTTGTAGTTTTTATGTTGGAATTTAAGACCCAATTAATTTGCAGACATTATCATTAGCATTTCATCTCCTATGAACTGTTCAATGGTGAAATTATTAGATTTTTATTTAAGGAGTTTCTATTTCAACTGAAATAGCTTATATCTCTTAGAGCATTATATTTCTTTCCATCTAGTAGTGGAATCACACAGTGGTTTCACGTATCAGTGCAAAAAATTACTCAATTGTTGTTCAGATTGTGTTTTCAATTTGCATTATAATTATAGGGTTATAATTACATCAATTTTGAGTTTGTGATTTCAATGCTACTGTGAGTTAGGGAAAATACAATAACTGGGAACGTTTAAATTCAATTTTTATTGTCAAATATAGAAGGTATATTCTCCGAAAATTTTAAGTTATATATCAAGAGTCTGAGTGGAGAGGCTCAGAATGTAAATTAACCTTTGATTTTCCTTTCATAGGTTTTGATGATTTGGATGCCATATATATGGTGCTCATAATATTATTTTGCAGATTATTTAGTTGAATTTATTAATTGTATTAATTGGTAAAATGTATTAACGTTGAACTTCTATATTTAACTTGCAGCTTTGCAATAATTCATTTGTAAGTGTCTGTAAATTTTACAGTCAAGGTAAGGCTATTGTCCCTTTAACCATACAATTATATATCTCTGAATTTTTTTTTTTTAAAAAAAGAACAAAGTCTGCAATTTTCATTCATTGACAATAACCCATCGAGGGTCAAGAGTACATAAATAGAACTCTTGGATGGTTAAACAGCAACCACATTGATCAAGCATCCTTGAAAAGCTCCCAGTTAATGAAATAGATAGCAAATTATAGTTGGCCAAGGCATTTTAACAGTAAAATATATTGGAATTTGTCATTTTCGATATGAATATTCATGATATATTTGTTCTTCAAATGGATCTCTAGAAGGGTCTTGGGAAAAAAGGACAAAGCAGCTTCCTGTTTTCTTCATTCAAATGAGATATTTGGTCTATATAATGGAAGGTAAAACATCTACCGTCATTGTCCATTGATAGTCTCTTCTTCAAGAAGTGAAAACAATCACTCTTTTTGTTTTGACCAATCATAAGGAAAAGGGAAGTGAATTTCTTTCCTTTAATAGGATACTAGGTTTCCCGGGTTTATCCCATCAAATGATTTTTTTCGAGTAAATATAGGAATATTTACTAATCAAATGAACTAGAAACACAAGAATATATTATCACGAGAGAGAGCTTAGGATAGATTACTTTATGAATTAATATTTAATATAGCTCATAATTGAACAAGCAATATATTCTAACTTTGAAAAATCAAGTGTTGCATCTCTATGTAATTATTTCAATGTTATACCATAACGCATTTAGGTAATTGAGCACATGATTAATGAGCCTTTCTGACATGAAGTTGCTATCACAAAATGGTATTACATACCTTTCCGTGTAGTATCTATCTCTCCCAACCCAAGATAGCCCAAGATAGATTGAGCCTCAAGACCCTTGCTCCTTGAATTTGAATGATCTCCTTGACAGTGAGAGAAATTGATAAAGGAATTGTGAATTTATTAATGTTGAAATTTATTTATCATCATCTAGAGATGCCCATGAACATGAGATTGAAAACCAATATCTTTTCAACTGTGAAACAGGGAGAATGTAGACTAGAATATTGCTATTTTTGTACAAGTTCAGATTTATATCTGAAAGTTCAATGCCATGGAAAAAAAAAAATTAAAGGAAACTAAAATAGAAACTGGAAAGACCCATGACCGTGCATATTTTCAAAATCTTAGTTCAAATATTCTGTTTCCTTCATTCCCGGAATTCTCTCAGAAGATCAACCTAGAGTTTAGTTCTTTACTTTCACCTTTGCGAGAGAATATGTTGACTCAGGCTGCACTTTTTAAATATTAAAATATATATGCATCCATGAGAGAGAGGATTGTGCATGATGATTATTGAGTAATTGTAAGTTTATAACCTACTAATTATGTTGGAAGAGAGGGAGATCTAAGGGACAAGAACCTCAAAAGACTCCACAATGCCACTCAATTCCACACAACACAGATATATAGCCTTCAAAGTCCAAAGTTTAAAGTCCAAAACACAAAACAAGAACAAAGCGCTTTGAAAATAGAAACCCTCGAATCTTGTGCCCATCTGGCCCCAACAAGCGCCCAAAGACTGCGAAAGATCGGAGAGTCAAAAAGCTTACGGGAAACAACACTGAAGAATGGGAGACTGTGACTCTCTCTCTCTCTCTCTCTCGCTCTCTCTCTCTCTAGGTTTCCCCCAGCACGCTACTCTAAGCCTGTGTTCAAGAAACAGATGTCTCATTTTCTCGCTGTTTCTCCCCCCCAGATTAGTCCAGCTTGAAGATGCATGCGGTGCTTTGATTCTGTTAGCTCATGCGTCTGACATCTTAACTGCATCTCCGTATAGACAGCTACTTCGTCTGTTTGTATAAATATATGGCCACGAAGCAGCCTTCTGACACTCATGTTGTGTATAGGCATGGCTGTTAATATTTCTGTTTACATAGATCAGTCTTGTTGCTGTCCTTCCTGAATCCATGCCAGCATTCACACATGCGGAGGCTCTGCTTACCTCTGATAATCCGACTTAGGATTGCTTAGTATTTAAAAGAAAATGACTTTTATTACTTCGTGTATAAGTTTGCACAGTTTGTTTGTTCTTCAGCTTCTTCTTCTTCTTCTTCATCATCTTTATAGAGATAGGAAGGTCGGTAGTTAAAAACTCATAAGTTAATTCTCCTACACTAACTAACATCCAAAAGAAAATATCAATTTTTTCTTGTACCTAAGAAGGACTTTATCAATCTTCTTCCGTATGTGTTTCCCCAACATACAACGAGATCTATTATCAATCTTTTTCATAAGTACAAAACCATCTATAAGAAAACCACGAGAGTATTTCTCTATGGCAAATTGACAAGAAACTTGCACGCAGACCCTGACAAATGGTTACTCTCTAGCTTCTGCTTGGGCTTTAGTCCATTTTTATGAAATTCTCAATTTTTTGCTTTCCAAGAAAATAAAAGACCATGAGAAATGGGATAATGGGGGTTTAAGAGGGCATGAATATGAGACACGAACAACTTTGTCAAGTTGGAGAGTGCATTAACATAATAAATTTGGAAGATTGTTTTATATCACTGGTCAAATGTTATATTTTAGGCTTCAAGCCCCTCATATATATAGCACTATATAATATAGTATTATACAATATATCATAAATGAAAAAATTATTTTTGACGATACACATTATTTTCCATAAATATATTAAGAATCCCCCCCCAATCTCTCTCTCTCTCTCTCTCTCTCTCTCTCTCTCTCTCTCTCTCTCTCTCTCTCTCTCTCTCTCGCTCCGGGGGTAGAAGAAGTGATGAGACGACTTGAGATTTGAAGATGTTACTCCTTTCACCACAAACTAGTAAGTTTATTAAATCAATCTCAGCTTTTGAGTCTTTTGGTTTGTCTGATGTATCAATCACTAAAAAATGACAAGTGATTAAAAACAAGTTTTAATCTTAAGCAAACTATATTTTACTTATCATTACATGTTGAATAAGATTAAATAGATAGCTTTCAATTTCATTTTCAGTTATTATATATTAACTTAAACTTTTAGATCCAAGGTTTCAAAACTTGGATATTTTAAGATTATAAATTTAGTATTTTAAACTTTCAACACAAGTTTTAGTTTTGTCAATCTAGTACAGTTTGCATTGCTTTTCTTAACCTGTAGTCTCTTTTATAAGAAATCATAATGTCATGCTGACTTCAAATGCAAGTTTTTTCTTTTAAGCTTTTCATTTTTCATTTTTTTCTTAAACCTTTAAGGGATTAAAGTCTCAGAAAGCTAGCTTATTCAACGGGGGTAAACGGGAAAAACTAGTTGCTAGCTTAGTTGAAACGAATCTTTCTGTACTAACTAGACATTTGTATGATAGGTGTCAATGCCACTTACGAAAAATTCTATGGGCAGCCAAAGAAGAATTAGTGAGGAAATTCTTCTCCTTCTTCTTCTCTTCTTGTTTTTCCCAACGTAATTAACCTTTACCCTTTCATACTTTAAACACAACGAAAATTATGTCCAAAAGGACAAATGAAACAACACATATTTAACCATCTATCTATTGTATAAAATTAAAACTATCCTTAAGAGAAGCGCGATGTGGCACTAAAGTGAACAACTTCTTTATTTGTCTTTTAACATGTAATAATTTAATTATTTTTGAACACTGTACTCACTTAACTTGTCATGGTTATGTAATCATCACTCTTCTAACTGTAGATGTTATGCCTTAAACTTAGGCATTAATATTTCCATCTTTAACTCGAATGTTTTCCTTTTCAACCTTATTTTCAAGGCATCTGAATGTATACTATGATTTGACAACGCCCAAGTCATAAGAACTTTTATTTGAATGCAGAACCTCCCCCTCTTCTTCTTGATCCCCTTCTTCAAAAGTTGTGTGCTCTCCACAGTAGTTAATTAATTAAATATTAAATTATATAGTATTCATATTATTTAATTTATTATTCTTTGTTAGAATAAGGATTGATTCTTTGCTGTATAATATCAGAATTATGAATTCATTATCTTTTCTATCTTTAATAACACCCGATTTTGAGTTGCAAAAATTTCAAGGGATGGAAAATGAGA